CAGAAACCTCTAATAGACACTGTGAAGCACAGAAAGAAAGAAGTGGGGGGGAGGGAAATCACACATCCCAAACCTCCCCCCCACTCCAATTTTCAATGTTACTCAAACACCAGGAAAAAATTACTTTTGTTGCCAGTCAAGTAAAGCACAATAAGGTCTGTTTGTTTCTTGGCAAGGAACTGATGGGACCATTCTAGAAATAGGGGATTGGTCCACAAACGTAAAGAAACTGTAAAAATGGAGCCGTAACGTTTGTGTACACAAACTAATATGAGCCATTAGGTGGGAATCCAGTATTTTAAATGACTCAGTTATAAATATTATACTTTTCCCTTGCTCATAACATTAACTTCCCTTCCACAAAATCACATGCATAGAAAGACCAAAGTGAAAAAAACTCCCACATTAGACAACAGAAAAGTTACCAAGACCGAAGTCTTTTCAGTCACAAGAGAGACTAACACTGACCAAAGTGTCCATATAATATCATTTACTGGATTGCGTGAAATAACAACGGTAATGCAGTTCCACATGTATGAAGAAATGATTAGATACCATCAATTACTATTTTTCCTTCCTCACAAACTACTAAATCTAGGTGAGAAAAGAGAAAATGTTCAAAACCTGTAAAAGGGTGACTTGGCTTTCTAACTTTCCCACCAAGAGAAAGCAATTTTTAAAAGCACAAGAGAAATGCAAATATACTTATCATCTAAGTCCTGGAAGTAAAGCTATTCATCTCTGCTTGTGTCTTCACCATCAACAGATTTGATAAATATACAAATTCCTATTCAACACTTCAACATAACCGTTTAAGAAAGTGTCAACATTATACAACATTGTTTAGGAAATTGAGGCTGAGAAGCATTACCTGAAATTCCCTATAACCTCCAGACTTCCTGAATCCTAAGTATTATCCAAACTCACTAATCACAAAGGCACATTCCCCATATTTGTCAATCTTTGTAGTGGATTTCGTAAGTCACATTTCAACCATTTATTTCTATTTAAGTATTTCTGCTTGTCCCAGTTTTTCCCATGACACTTCAGAACTGTCCATCGGCTGTGCCAATTCCCGCTTTCTAAAGTCATGCATGACAATGACCCTCTCCTTAGAGTCTGTCAGCCAAAGCCACAGCGATCACTGAGGGGAAAGATGACTTAAAAAAACTGAAAGTAAGTGAAAGGCCATGACAGAAGCAGAGAAGCCCTGCCTCGAGATACCAACTTTTTTCTGTGTTTTTCCTCTTCAGCCTGAGCAACACATTTAATTCTTCCAACTATATTCCTTGCTACTCCTTTCCTCCCTTTCCCGTTTTTAGTCCTTTCCTGTTCATAAAGACTGCCATCTGAACATCCAAAAAGAAAGGGTTTTAGCTCCCCTTTATCAGTGGACACTCACAAAACACTGCATGCAATAGCAGAGACCACTCCTCTGCAACAGCCTCACGAAAAGACAGCTTAGAGGAGGGAGGAAAGGAAAGGAAGGGAAGTCACAGGCTTCCTGCTATTAAAAGCCAAATTTAAACCCTTTCCACATCAGAAGGGCCTCTGCTGTTGGCTGTAGTGCAAAGAGCAGAAAATTTGGTGGATACGGCGTCTTCCTTATGCTTAAAAGGCAGCTCTTGCACGTTAAAGATGAGGAGCACTGGAAGTGGGGAAGCCACATTCCCACTGTTTATGGAATTGCTGTAGAAGGGGTCAGAGGATAGCACGGCCACCTGAAGCCACTGTGCAGGAGCCAGAAGAGGGCTAAGCCCTTCCAAAACACTCCATCCAGAACAGCCTGTGCTGCAGAGCATGCCTTGCCCCTCCAATATTCTACTCTGCTTCTCACACACCACCTTCACAACAGGGACAGAAAAATAAATACATACATTTCTGTCTCTAACTCAACTACAGATCATGAAAGGAACACAGAAAAAAATGGAACAGTCTTTGCTGTAGTTAACTTGCCTAGAACTTTAACCACCTTCACATTCAATTTAGCTTTAACTATTCAGCACATTAATTACCTGGAACACTTGATTCCATACAGTTCCTCAAATAATTAATTAGCTAAAGGGATTGAGGATTGGAGTCCCAGAGGAAATTCTTCTAGTTTTGTAGACTACATAGATTTCACCTTGTTAAATGCTACAACAATTCACCTAAATGCACACAACAACTGTCCCTTCAACTACTTAGGGGAAGAATCCTAAAATCAAAATAAGTAAAATCCCCTCACACCCATTGGAGTAGGCCAGCATTTCTAGCACTGGGTATCCTGCCTAGTCACCTGAAAGAAGAACATTTGAGTAACACTAAATAAAAAACTTTCTATTCCTTTGTCAGTAGCACACTAGACATTTTTCCCAACAGGTATCCTCTTTCTGCCACAAACAACAACTGGTCACAGGATAACCAAACAAAAGCGAAACAAGTTTTAGGCAGGACTTTAAACTGGATTTCTCTCAGCACACCAATAACCCGCTCCAGCAGGAACAATTCAAAACTACACTTACATCCATTACACCAACATCAAAAAAAGTCTCCTCATCTCCAGTACAGTACAGTTTTCACCAGCACGCTGCTGTTATTCATGGCATCAGCTGTGGTGTTGTAGGCAAACATATTTATGCTCCAGAAAGACTGATCAGGACATCAAGAGAAGTAATGCTTTGCTTTTCCTACCCTTCCAAAAAAAACCTCCATGCTATCTCTCTCGTTAGCTGAATCCCACATCATTTTTCCACAAGGTAAGCAGGATAAAAAGGGAATGAATCCAGCAAAATGGGTAACAGGGAAAGCAGGCCAACATAGGGAGCAGTCAGTTACTTGGAAGAAAAGACAAGTTACTTAAGGACATGTGTGTAACTTGCAAGAATTTCAAAACACTGGAAAACAGCCTTCTCCCCCCTGTAAAGTGTATGTTATGATCCACTGATTGTTTTTGGCACTAGAAACCCAAAATGATGCATTATAACTTACTTCTTGTACATTTTAGAACACTGGAAAACAGCCTTTTCCCCCCCGTAAAGTGTATGTTATGATCTACTGATTGCTTTTGGCAACAGAAACCTAAAATGATGTATTATAACTTAATTCTTGTACATTTTAAATACACCACTTCTTTATTTGATTTTTTTATGCACCTCAGCGTTCCAGTACGTAGGACCCACAAAAGGACGAGCACAAAGGACTCCCTGCAAGCCCGAATGCCATGGGTTGGGTGGACAATCCACGGTCCCTGAGCTGCAGGGACCTTCCCTGCAATTCCCGCGTGGCACCAGGACACGCTGTGTGATTGGCAGCAGGGCTGTGCTGGCACAGGGCTGCTCCGTAATCCAAATCCCTCGCTATGAGAAGGCAGAAGCCAGCAGAGCCTCCTGAGGCCAAATTTGCCATGTTGCCCTGGACTGCAGCTGCACGCTCAGCGCTGCCCAAACCCACCACGCACAGCGGGACACTCGAGGAACGCAGCGCTGCTGCAAACCCCAGCGTGCCCCAGCCCCTCTCCAGCTCTGCAGGCTTTGGCTGAGGGGTCTCTGGGCTCCCAGATCCACACAAATTTGGGCTTGCAGGGTTTGAGAAGGTTATCTACCCACATAACACCCCATTCATCAGCCAGCATTGTTATCTCTTTAAGAGCATCGGTGTGCTTGGAGAACTTCGATCTGTGTTGGTTAAACGGATTGATGTTCTCAAACGCACCAGGGATCCTCCACCTGCACTTTCATTTACTTTTTACTTAGCACCCAAGGTTGAGAGCTGCTACATCCAAGTCAACTCATGCAAATCTTTTAAGTCACACAGGTCTTTTGGGAAGTCTTTAACAAGAGCAGCCAAAATGATGGAGACAACTCAGCAGTAACAGGATGCAGGAGTAGGCACTGACGGAAAAGTTATTTGGAAAAAAAGAAAATATTCCCCAGAAAGAGGAGCTTAAAACATGTAGCACAGAATGTAATTTATTATGAATCAGTCTGAACTTTCATTCAAAAGATGGTGTACCTTATCCTGAACCAGCATTTGGTGATTAGGGAAAAGTACTATCCAGGCTCCTCGGCTAAACTTTTAGCTCAGACATTCTTACTCAGTAATTAACTACTGGAAGACTAGTGAAAGCTTCATCTTCCCAAAAAGGTAGGATTAACAAAATAGATGATACCACTAAAAGCTAGAGGATGACAATACAAACTGCTATGCTCAACAACAAGGGAGACAAAACCAGAAATATTATTTAAAAAAATAAAAAAATTAAAATTAAACACAGAGAATAAGCTTTGAAATTTCAATACTTTCATTCAATTAGAATTAATTTAGTAGGTTTGGGGATAAACACACAGATGCTTGCAGGTATAAAGTAACATGCAGAAGAATCTCTTCTTACTGTCTAGCAAGGTTAGACAAAAAGTTAGCAAACACAAATCCCTCTCATGAAAAAAACAGATGATCCATTTTTCCTATCTTAATGCCATTCTCCTCCTCACAACTATCAAATAACTGAACAGATACTAAGTGTAAAAAATAAAAGCTTTTAGAAACATAATTTAACACAATCATCTGGACAAGCAAATGCAACAGAAACCCCAAAATTCATAGTACAGTTTCATTTTGTGAAGAGACGGAAACTAAAGCCTTACTTATTCTAAATAAAGAAAATTGCACTTATTTTGTACATTGACACCAGGCCTGTTTTCAGCAATATGAAGCCATGTGCTATAGCTGAGGTAAATCAGTGTCAGCCATGTTGTGAAAGAAACTGCAATTAACAAACACACAAAACTTAAGCTGTGCCTTGATATAATAATTTTATACTGCTGGATCTCACTTAAGATTGGTGCCTGACTTCTTCAACTGAATGTCTATTAATCTAATTAAAAAATGCACACTTAAATTCTAGAGACAGTGAAACAGCAGCAAGAAGAAGACACACCAAGCTATAAACCAGCAGCTCTGACTCTGTGCAGTGCACAGGAGGAAGGTACGCTGTAAAGTGAAAAAGCAAATGCACTTACTCAGCATTAAATCCATTCACGTGCAAGATCCTCATCTGTTTGACTATTGTGCTTTTACCGGATTCACCAGCACCTAGAAAATGAAAGTAAATCAATTTCAGAAGGAAGCATGAGTGATTAAGGGATACACCAAAATTTTTTTCTTCAGGGTAAAATCGAGAGAGTTGGTTTTCTCAGTGCAAGAGTGAAAAGTGAAAGAAATAATTGCCACTGGAAACTTCAGTTGTAGCTAAAAATAAATGCCCAGCTCAAGTCATGTGTCAGATCTGAATCTTGGATCATTTCACTGTCCGTTTTTCCAGTGTCAACGTTAAAAGCAGATTGCAGTATTTGGAAAGAAAAAGGACAACTTCAACATTTTATAGAGAAGAAAACAGGCCTTGTCACTGCTATCTGACGGAGGGAAAGACTGACTGAAGTCCCTATTAAACCAAAGCATTTTTGTTAGATCCTTAAATTATTTCAAGTTTGGCTGCAGTTTATCATCACCCCGTAGAAGACTAACGTAAATCCCAAGAAGTAAAATACGTGGATACTCACATCTGAAAAAGGAAGGCATCCCTTTAAGCCTCCACCCACAGTGCTACAAAAACCTCCTTCTCCTATTTGTGTCTTGTAAGCAACCTCCCACCCTCTCTACATGTTCCAAAACCAACGCTATAGCACGACGAGACGCAAAGACCACCTTCTGTGGCTGCCTGCTCCAAACAGCACCCCCCCACAGCCCTGCCTTGCTTCCCCCATATACCTGCAGCACAGAAACCCCCACTCCACTTTACTCCAGTTTCCATAAGTGGATGGATGCTATTTCTGCTGAGCTGCTCGGATGCCAGTGCACAGGGCAGCCCATCTGCCTATAGTACCCGTTTTTCCATGCACGCTGAACAACTCCAACAGCAGCATTTAATTGAGCTGCTCCACGCTGCCAGATCGGCAGCTTTCTAAATAAAGCAAGCACATTTTTTTTTTGCAAGAGTAGTAGCACAACCTGGCAAAATTTAGAAAGATTTCCCCTTAGCATCTCCTGGCTACTTGCTCACTCCCCTCATTAGCCTGTGTCTCAACAACAGGAACTGTACATCTGTGGCAGAACGGGCAGGGAGGTACAGTTTGTATTTATAGGATGTCAGGCCTCTGCTAGCACACACTGACAGCACAAGCCTCCATTTTGAGCCTCATGTTCAAAACTGTATTTTAGCAGTTATATTTCAAAGTTCATTTTCCTGACAAACACGTTTCCCCCTCTGCTTTCTCCCTTCCTTTCCTTCTCCCCCGTGAATTCCCAACAGTCCTGCTCGGCTCTCCGTAAAACCTGCTGGCATGTTTTGCCACTTTAATACCAGAGCCTCACTCCTTTTTCCTCTCCTTGCTCAATGGTGTTTTCTAAGCATTTAGAGAGCAGTTTTTATCTACAACTCTTTATGCAAGCACCACTTCTCCCCTAAACTACTATACTGTAACAGACACCCTCTGTCTCTTCAGACAGACTGCACGAGGCAATAAACACAGGTGGCAAAACTCATCCAGAATTAGTGTCTTGGGTTAAGACAGAGAGACTGGGTCCTCTTCGCAACTAAGAATTATTCAGGAAGAGCAGCATTTGCTATAGTCACATTTCCATTTAAAAATAATCAACAACTAAATTTCAGCTGTAACTCTAAATCACATCTCGTATTTATAAGCACTGGGAGCCAAAATCTTTACTTCACTTAGGCCAAGAACAGGGCTGGATAGTTGTTGCATTTGCTATAAACACATAGGGTTTGGTATTGACACACCTGGGTTCTCTGGATCAGATACAACACCAGGGAACCAAAATGAAGTATTACATCTACATAAGTCTATTTCTATATTTGGCTGCTCGTTAAGGCCGTATTCTTACCAACAGCTACAGACACATTTAACTTCACCACCAAGGAGAGTTCCATTAATTTCAGTGAGACTGCTCGTGGCAGCAGGACAAGCACGTGTACAGCGGTGGGGCCTACAAGGAGCAGCATAAACCCGCTAGAATATTCAGCAGCTCTTTGTTGCTACTTGAATATGATTTGAAAAGATTAAGAATACTTTCAAAGTGCTTGGCTTTCTATTTCACGTGTCTTATAAAGGAAACATAACATAATAATGGGGACAGGAACTGTTATATTTGGGTGTTTACCAGTGAGTCTATGTTACAGACTATCCACAATTGGTGACAGAAACTGTAACACCTGAACTACCACTTTAAAACACACACACACAGATGACCTTACTGCCATCACTAAACATACACAAATTTTTATTTACAAGTATCTAAACTATTTTTCAGCCACCTAAACTAAAAACAAACAAACAAACAAAAACCAAAACAAAAACCTAAAACAAAATAAAAACAACAAACAAACAAACAAAACCCAGAAAGAAAACCCAGGCAAGCCCATCATGTTTCTGTTTGCTGAAATTTTGCCTCTTATGAAAGCAACCCGTCTGATGACAAATGGTTTCTATGTATCTACATAAT